TAATACAAGGGAAAAGAGTGCCATCCCATCACCCTCTGAAGCCCTCTCAGACTTCTGTCAGCTAGGGCTCAGGGTCTCAGGGTCACTGCAGGACGTTTTCAAAAATGCATGATTGATAAATTCTCCATAGTCTGTACATCCTTACAAGTAGTTTGAAGAGAATGAAATTGAACTTATAAAAGCTGTTTTGAGTCTTCCCTCCCACGCAGCACCCTTCACCCACTGTAAAAAGGAGCTGAACCTTACACTGCCCTCAGGGCCACAGCACCTTCTATCAAAATGTAGGTGGATGGAATGCTCACTGAAGCAGTCTAGTGAAAATGAAGGGAGAAGTAAACATTAAATACAAAATAATGTTAAATAGACCAGTTCACAAAAATCTCACTCAGAACCTCTATTATTGGAGTAAAGAAAGGGAACACAGAATTGGTGTTGTTCACTGCATCTGGACAAAGTCACAAATATCCCTCTATGGATCAAGGTCATAAAAACTTTATACTTTTCCCAAGATATGTCCCAGAGGCAAGTTCAATTGTGTGTCTGTGTCCAGTTACTAATGACTTCGCCAGCATTTGGTTTTTCTATGTAGTGCTACTGAGGCAGGCAGGCTCTCCCAAGTAAAAGGTACCTCCCATAATGTGCTTTCTGAATCCCTCTTTCCGCTCCATGGGGGTGAAATGCAAAGCATCCCCAGATGTTTCTCCAGCTCACTAACCCAACAGTTATACTTTCACTTTGGCTTGGCAGAATGCTGTAAACTGTCCTCTGAAGTCTCCTTGTCAGTCCTTACTTACCCTGTAGACTGCTGAGCTATAAGCGACGTGTCCTTAGAAACCTTCTATAGAGACATGTATAAAGTAAAATTAACGTTTACCTTCTTATACATCAAAATTTTAAATTTCTTACAGTCATAATTATTGCAAAAATAGTTCCAATCTAATTATCTTCTTTGAACAGCTCTAATTGGTCAGTTTCAGAGCTCACACTAGCTCATCTGTGCCGCAGAACTGACTTTTTAGGAGAATAAAGAGATGTTTTGTCTAAGTCAAGCAGCGCTAGTCAGTGGGAGGAGTGGTAGAGTCACTCTGTGGTTCTCCTCCCCTCTCTAAACAGACAGTAGCTCTAGTTTCTTCTGGCTGGCACCCTGAAGAGAGCAAGTTTCCATCAGAGTCTGTGCGGATTGCCCTGTCTTAAGTACTACACCATTGACTATATATAGCTAGAAATTATAAAATCCTAGATTTCATTAGTGTTTCTCAGAATAGGTAAACATGACAGTATCTGAGATGTGCTGATTTAAAATCCTGGCCAGGCACTAAATCTTACCTGCTTTGTTAGTCATTCTTTTAGAAATTCTTGAGACTGAAATAAAGTGTTATAACATTCTTCTCTGTGCATTTCATCTTTTAATCCTCAGGGTCTAACAAACTTGCTCAGCACACAAGTAACTTGCCTGTTCTCAAAATAAAAAAGCACAATTTCAAAAATCGGTAATAAGTAAAATAAAAATGAAATGTCTTATTAGCTATGTTTTTGTTGTTTTATTATGTAAGATAGGGCACTGTAAATTTTTTCTCTAGCATTTAGCACTTATAGCACAGAGTAAACTATATGATGTATTTATGCAATTCATGCAATTCCAAAAAAGAAGCATTCAGTATATATCAACCATATTTACATATATTCATCTGCACAAAAATTTATAAGCAAGAAATGCTTCTTATAAATTTGAAAGAGCTCTCGATCATTTAAATGTGGCATTTAGAAAGTCTGTGACATTTTGTTTGTTTGAAAAGAGATAATTATCCTTTTTATCTTAATATAGGTAATTAAAACCTACATCCTCCGTATCAAAATCAACTGCTTCTTTCCATATCTTAAATGTATTTTAATTCAATGCTTCAAGTTATTGATGTGAAATATAATTTAGAGGCAATTTAACAAGCACTTGCCAAGTTGTCATTGTTTCTCTAGGTAGATCCTAGGAAATTAAACATTAATGAACCCCAATGTCTGACTACATTGTGGTTTTCCTACTCCTTGCTAAAACATAGTATATATTTACATTTACATATATATTTTCCACCTGAAAAAATATAAACTCAAATAAAAAGAATTCCCCATCTTTCCCATCTTTTCCCCCATTTGTTTCCTCAAAGTTCAGCACTTCCCAACACAGTAAGCACTCAGGAAAATATGTTAAATGTGTGACTGTCCCCCTTCTTCAGGAACCTAAATTCAAAATATATTAAAACATTAATAACAATGTCCTTAACACATAAGTATGACAGTGGTATTTTATTTTGTTTAGTTGTTCTTTTTTCTGTTGTTTTTTTCTAGTCTCATTCAATTTAAGATGCAATGTAAGCCACAACAATAGGCATTAAGAAGTAAGGGGATTAGTTGAATAAATCCTCATGCAAATGTTAGAATTTAAATTTCCCTATATAGTAGATGGTATTTAAACCTGGGTTTGCGTGAGAAAATAATGAGGACAGGCAAAACTTACAACAAATAAAGCAAACATCAGGAAAATGAGATGATAAGACAACGTTCATGTCACAGAAATCTCCTGGTAGGTTTCCATCTGGGTGGTGTCTATTTATAGACTCGGGGACCAATGCTCTATTGTTGTTAAGCTCGGCGCTTAATAATGAAGAGATTTTTTTTTTCCTACATTTGGGTTCCAAACTTAACTTCTGTTCAGAAAGAAATGTTTCTTTCCATACTTGGACATACAGTTAAAGCCATTTTTAAAAACACAGGTTGACTTCAGAAGCCCTTTTATTGTTAGAGAAAGCTGAAAGCTCTTTTAACTACAAGCTTAAGAGCTTCTCTAAGGGGCAGGGATGTGATTCAAATAGTTAACTCTGAGCTCTGCTCCCCAACATCAACTTAAAATGGTAGATATGGTGGTCTGCTGTGATCCCAACACTGAAGATGTGGAATAGGAGGGTACCTGAGGTCTTGCCAAATAAGTGAGCTTTGGGATTAGTGGCAGATCCTTTCTCAAAAAATAAGATGAAGGAAGGTTGAGAAGGACACTCAGTATCAATCTCAAGAGTTTACCCTTGTAATTGGGCACATATGTATGCATTACACTCAATCATATATGAGCCTGGGTGGATGATGTGGCTTTATTCAGGGTATCCTGTCTTCCTCGGATAGAAAAACCCAAGTAAAAGAAAAAAATTAAACCTCCTAACCAGAGGTTAAATTTATTCATGATTTTCTGTCTCCCCTCCTCATACCAGGTATGAATGATAAATTGATTAATCTCAGATTTCTTTATTACCTTATACGTACTGTTTCCTGATAGAAGAATGAACAAGCATGATGGTCAAATGGAGATGTTTTTTTTTTTCTTTTGAAACAGGGTTTTTGTAACCCTAGCTGGCCTTGAACTACTAAGTACCAAGGTTGACCATTCTCTTTCCATCTCCCAATTTTGCTGGGATTGAAGATATGCATCGTTATACCTTATATATGTGGTGCTGGGAAATCAAGCCCAAGACTCCCTGCACGTCAGCCAACGCTTTGCCCACAGAGCTACAACCCCAGCCCAAAGCAGGAGCATTAAAAATGTCCAAGCTTCATATTTTTATTCATTTTTGCATATCAATCGCAGTTCTCTCTCCCCTCTCCCTTCTCCCATTTTCTCCCCCCTCCCTCCCTCCATTCCTCAGAGATCCCACAGAGGATCAATAAAGCCTGACATATCATGTGGAGGCAGGACCAAGTTCCTTCGCCCCACCCCATCAAGGCTGAATGTGGTATCCCACCATAGGGAATGGACTCCAAAAAGCCAGTTCATGCACCTGGACCCACTGCCAGGGCTCCACAAAACGACCAAGCCACACAACTGTTACCCACATTCAGAAGGCCTAGTTTGGTCCCCAGCTGTCAGTCCAGAGTCCATGAGCTCCCACTAGCTCGGGTCAGCTGTCTCTGTGGGTTTCCTCATCATGATCTTGACCCCACCACACCCCACCCCTACTCATATGATCCCTTTTCCCTCTCGACTGGACTTCAAGAGCTCGACCCAGAGTAAAACATAAAACTTCATGTTTTAAAAGCCAAGAGTTAAAAGAACAGAATTAATTAGATGTATCAACTATATAACCTATTGTATCTATCTTCATCAAGTAATTAATAATTTGTTAATACAGATTTTATTAATTCTGTGATGTTAAAAGCTTTATCTCTAAGATGCCTTGAGATCAGAATGTACGAATGCTGTTTGCCTTTTTTTTTTCAATAATTTTGTGAATATAATCAAGTTAGATTTTGTGGTACATTTACTGAAATGAATACATCGGAGAAGTATCAACACAGTGTCCTCAATTGGGGTATAAATATTGACTGATGTCATTTGCTGCTTGTGAATGAGGAAAATGCCCATTTTTAAAGCAAACATACCATTTTGCCTATAAAACTCAATGCCCCATGTAATTGGTGACCAGTGGAAGCTCTCATGTGAAGGCCAGTTCAGCCTGACTCCAAACCCAGCCTACGCATTAGAAGATTGAATGCCCAGAGATTCCCAGAAGTGAGCTTGGGGTGTTCCTACAGGGGAGGGCAAATAGTTCCGTGTTCTCAGCTGAAAGCCAGTGGTGGGAGTGTGGATGTGCGGTGGTGTTTTTACAGTCAGAATCCTTACAACAAACCGTGTCACCAGGCTACTTTTATTTTTATCCCTGAGAGTTGGTCAAGAGCCAAATCCGGTTATCCTTGATTTTACATGCAGCTTCCAGCTATGACTATCCTAAAGTATTATCTGATGTTCATTTTATAAGGAAAAATGTGTGTATACCTGTCTTTTTGTGTGGCTTTGTCATATTCAGTTACCATCTCTGCTTGAATGTTTGCCCTACATGGAGTTTAGATCCAAACTTGGTGGTTTGGCTAGTTTGTTCTCACTGTAGGAATCAGAGCTTTGATAAACTTGCTGGGATGTATTCATGAACTCATGTCTTTGGTTTTTTTTTCTGACTTTTTAGGTGTACAAGAATTTCCAGAAAACATAAAGTGCTGTAAGTGTTTAACCATTATTGAAGCCAGTGTCAATCCTATTTCTAAGTGAGTATAAATTATTTGATTTTTACTTATATTCTATTTGTATTTACATTGGCTTATGGTGTGCTTAGATGGAACTTTTGTGATAATAGTTTTGAACATAAAATCAATTGTTTTAGTTATCAGAATGGTAGGAAAGCTACCAAGAGCTTGGGGTTTCATTAAGATGGTTAAAAAGCATGAATGAGAAGGAAGACCCTGCTGGCACAGTAGGGCATTGGTTTTCTGTAATTCTCAGCAGTATTCCAAGGGTGAGAGTCAAAATCAAGAAAATAGATATTGGTTGCAGTCATGGTGAGAAATTAGCATCATGGACCTGATGGAAATTCAAAACAGAGGAAATTTAAAGGTGCCCACAAATGCTTTAAGAGTTGAGTGTCACCACTAAAGAAATTGAGTCTGACTCCAAATAAGACGTGCCTGGGACATAGAAATAGCAGCTAGAGTAAACAAAAAAGCCTAAAGGTGTAGTAGATGGAAAGATGTGAATGTTAAAGATTCTAGCAGAAAATAAAAAGGTTGTTTGTGGTTCAGAATCTATTAGCTAAGAAATCTCATGGGAAAATGAAACTCAACAGGTGACTATCTTGCTGACTCAGATTTGTCCTGGAGTGAGAGATCTGTGGAAACACGAACAGGTAAGATGGTAGTAGAAATAGAACCCAGAAAGGCTGCTGACATCTTAGTACCTGAAAGAGTCTGAAGCAGACTGGACCTGGAATGCAGATGGTGGTCTTCAGAGAAAGGCGCCATCTTAATTACATGAAGCAGAGAGTAAAAGCCTCCAGGACTTTGTCCACATGAGTAGAAGAGGCTGGAGTTCTCAGCTAGGGGAATATTCTCAAAAGACACGAAGAGGCTGGTCAGAGTTTTGCACCAGAGGACACAATAAAATGAGAAAGAAATTTACAGTTGATAACTAAAGAAACAATATGCACGCCCTAGTAGAAAATACAGTACATTAAACAATGTGATATGCTTCAAAATCAGAGTTTCTACCTCATACTAAAATATGGAAGGGGAAAACAAATCCAGACCTTGAAAACTTTTTCCCAACTCTACAACAATTGCATTTTTCTCAGCATCTCAACGTAATGGAGCTACCAGCCTCTCATACCAAGCCTGACACACAGGGTGGATGAAGAGCTGGTCTGCTCTACATATTGTCTGTTATTTGTTTGTTTTCTTTATTTTCTAGAACAACGTATTGTTTAGTAATTACAAGTCTTGGGGGATTGAAGTCATAATAAAATTACAGCACTGAGAATTTAAAAACTAGGTTTATCAAGCTACTTCCAAACTCATTTCATATATTTAAACTTGTGAAACATTTAAGTTACCTATTTCATCAAAATACACTTAACACTTTAAACATCAACCATTTGGGGAGTGTATAAAAACACAGTCAACAGAGAAGCAGATTTAAGTAGTATGTCCATTTTCAAATTCAGACTTTTTAAAGCTAAATGAGTAAAATCCCCATTTTAGGTATGCAACTGAGTATATTTTTAGAGGTAGTTAGTCATTAGCTGTAATCAATTAAATCATTTCAACACCCCCAGAACTCCTCTAGCCTGGCTGTCTTTTCCAGAAAGCATTATGAATGGTTGTTGTCTGTGTCAGATTGTTTTAACTCATCTTGTTGGCTGTCAGTTTGTCTACATACCAGTCCCTTTATTGGCAGGAACGTCCCATTGCAGAGAAATCACAAGTCCCTTGATGGTAGGAACTGTGTGTAGACATTGGAGAAATTCATGCCCAGATGTCATTTAGGTTGCTTAAATGCCTGGGGCAGTTCAACGGGGAATACAGAACTCATGTACTTGAGCTTAGGAGATGCTTACGAACCTTTGCAAATGGTGGCTGTTTCTTTGCCATCATCCACCATTATAAGTTCTCATTTCTTCTATTTCAGGCAGTCTGGTAGATATGCTGTCTCCTTGTGGTTTTAATTTACATTTATGGTGTCCGATCAGCATATTTCTCTGCATATTAATTAAAGGTATTGTTTCTTTGGCAGCAATTCAATTTTTTTTCTTGACTTGCCTTTTTAATGCTGAATTATAAGTTATTTTCAGATTCCGGGTGCAGTATGAGTCCCAGTTCTATGGCTTGTTCCTTCACACTCTAAATATCTCCCTTCACGGAGAGGCTTTTACGTTTGTATGAAGTCCTGTTTAATAGCATGCATCCCTGTTTCCTGCCTAAGAAACTTTGCTAAGTTCAGAGTCCTGCTTGGTCTTCTGAAGCTTTGCTCTGCATCTTTTGTAACTCAGGCTTTCCCTTTGGCTTAGACTTCTGCAAATCAGCAGGGCTTAATGGTCGTGAGGCTTTTCTCTGATGTCTGTGTCCAATCGCTCCTGATCCATTATTAGGAATAGTACCAGCCTGAATAGGGCTGCCAGGTGCCTCTAATGACAACTAACAGGTTATATGTGTTTGGGTCCATTTCTGCTTTCTTTTCTGTTTTTACACCAATCTATATGCCTGTCTTTATGCCACCGATACTCTCTCAATTACTATATATAGCTGCATTGTAAATCATGAAGTCATGTAATATAAGCCCTCATTAACTTATCATAATCATACAAGCTAGTAGATGCCTTTTACTTTTCTATATAAATTTCACAATCAGCTTCCCAGTTTCTTCAAAAATATAAAAGTCTGATGGGATTTTGACAGGGATTGCATTGAATCAGTTGGCCAATTTGGCTAGAACTAGTATCTCAGAAATATTGAGAAACTGAAATTTGAAATTGTTTCCAAGCCTTTTTCATCTTTAAAATTTTTTAATCTATTTTGTAGATTTTCCACATGCAAATAATACATATCTTATTTATTCTCATGAGTTTACATTTTATGCTATTGTGGATAATTTTTATTAATTTATTTATTTTGCCATGTATATTTAAAAATTCAATTTTATATATTTATGTTATAACTTGTAAAACTACCTAAACCTTGTTTCTTAATTCTACTGGACTGTTTCTAAACATTTGGGGAGAGGTTCGGTGTAAGCAACCATGTTGTCTGTGAATTTGTTGTATTTCATTGTTTTTATCTACTTGCTGAATATTGACTTTTCTTGCCTTATTTATCTTGTAGGACCTCACATTGAATAAAGAAGTGAAAACAGACAGCGCTGTCAGTTTTTCATTATCTGTGTTGCTTCTTCTTTTCTCATGCAGACCTTCTGTCAAATTAAGGGAAGGCCCCATAACTGGCCTTCACTTCCTTTGACACCCTCACTGGCAGGTCTTCCAAGTGAGATTCACGCAGGGAAATGCAGTCTCTGTCTGTCATGGCCTGTATTTGTGGGTTTTTTTCTCTCTGGATTTGAACAGTCTCCTCTTCTGTGTTCCAAAGCCACATTTTTTGGGAAGCTGTCGCAGCAGAGATCTTATTCTGAGTACCGAAATCTATATTACTTTCCTTCTGTGTGATAAACGACTGTGGGCTCAACAGCTTGTTTGACTATCATCATTTTCCAGAGTTCCTGGTTCAGGAACTTGTGCATGACCAATCTCAGCTGTTGGTTCATGGTCTCACCTCCAGAAGCCAAGGAAAGAGTTATTTTTTCAGAGGAACAAGAATCCACTCCAGAGCTCAGTTGGGCTGTTATAGAATTCCCTTCTCACACAGGGAGCTGAGATCCCAGATTTCTGCTGGCTACCCCTAAAGATACTGTGGGAATCTAAAGGGAGCATCTCCCTGCTGTGTAATTATCTCCAGATGCAACTTGTTACCTAGCATCTGGCTTCCTCAAGGTCAACACTAAGTGAGGGTGAGTCATGAAGATAATTACGGATGTGGCATCCCACTACACAGCCATTTTCTGTTAGCTAATAAGAAACCCCCAATCCTGACAACACAGGAAAAAAACAGGTCCACCATACACTAGAGCTGTCACAACTTTGGTATCTGTTTTGCAGGGTGCTTATTTTCAGTGGGTGTTGAGTTTAGCCATAGCTGATTTGTAAGATCTGTGATCACTTGGTTTTATGGTGACTCACATTCTTCAATGCTTCCTGTGCAGCCATGGGGACCTGGGTTCAAGTCCCCGGCACCCACACAGAAGCTGGGAGTGCCACCCTGTGCCCATAACTCCAGCTGTGAAGAACAAAGTCAGGAACATCCTAGGAGCTCTCTGACAGACCAGACTGGTAAAATGGAGAGCTTCAGGTTCAGGAAAAGACAGTGCCCAAGAGAATAGAAGGGAAACCAATAAAGAGATATACCTAGTGTCATCCTCTGGCCTCTGCATGTGTGCTCATGTACATACACATCACATACATAGAAAATAGAAATACATTAAAAATAAATATCCAGAACTCAATGACAAGGAAGCCAGTAGTATGTTACTATGTGGAAAGGCTACCCATCATGATTTCTGCTTATCATGGTGTTCATGCCAGGGTACAGTCAACACAAACCCCTCTTTACTCTCACAAGTGTCTGAAGATGTTCTGTACTTTATTTAGACCCCTTTTATACAACGACACTGCAAAAATAATTGTAAAATAAAGGATAAATAAAAATGCAGTTCAAACAAATTTTCTTATTGTAAAAAATATTTTTAAAGAAAAAAACAGGTGAAATGCACATCATAGCTGTGTGAAGGAGGTGGGGATGCAGTTCATTTGTTTATTACTTTACCAAGTATTCTGTAATGTCATACACCAATTTCTTAATTTAAACCCATATAAATGAAAGTATTTATATACATAGTGTCATCCCAATTAGAGTCTATACATTGACTCCTTAATTACAACATATAAAACTTACTTCAGTGAAACTTAACCATCTTATTATAGATCTGGTGTCTAAAATTTTTAGTTAACTTCTAGAGAAAACACAGTAAGAGAAAAGAAAGCTGAAGCAAAGTTGTCTGCAGTAAATCTAAAAATTATTGCTCAGTGATAAAAATAAGCGGTTATAAAATATATTTAAAACGGAGTTCTAGTTAATATAGGAAGAATACACTAACGAGAAGAACTGTGATT